ATATAATTACCAGCCTCAGTTGCTCATCCTGTTCCACTGGCCACGTGGTCTAGATGTGAGCGGAGAGGGAACTGGGTCATGTCAGTGCACACCAATGTTCCTCATAATAGAACCAAAAGACTCAGTCCTATAGTTTTGCACCCATATTTTTTGTATGTTTTAATCCATAGATCCTATCCCATATCACTGCCCCAGGGGCATAGTATGACACATTTTCAAAGATTATATTTATATACATTGTATTTATTATATATAGCTTCATCTGCAACTTAACCATACACTTCTCTTGGATTAATAAGACCTTCCATTCCAAGGACCCATTTCTAACTTCTATATCATGAGCACTATAAATAGAAGAATGCTGTTTATCTTTTTTCTTTTGACTGGATATCGCTTGTGGAGTGGATATTAATGTGTTCCTTTTTTTTTTCCCTTTGGGATGGACATCTTTCCATCCCCTCCTCTAGCACCAAGTTGAAGTTCCTGAGCAGATTCTGATGACACTAACCATCTCCTATGTACTTCAGTGTATTGGAATGAATTTACAAATAATTCCATGAAGAACTCAGATTACTGAATTATTGATTTTAGTGGCCTGGTTATTAGAGGATCATAATTCAGGATCAAATAGCTCCATTTCTGCCCTGAGCCTAAAGAAATTTCATAAAGATTCATAGTAGTTGGTAGTCAGTTTTGACAGCTGATGGCGATGGGGACAATTGTTTTTTGTGATACGTCAGAGTGTAGAGGTCTATGCCCCATTGTGTTAGGAACAGCACAAACATAAGATGATGAACACTGTCCTGAAGAGCTTACATTCTGAATAGTAACAGGGGTTTCATTCGTTTTAGATTTGCTTCTGAGAGTCAAGTCAGCTTTTGGGAAAGTAGATTTTAAAAAGAAATGGAGGATGTTCTGGCTGATAGAAAGTATGTCTGAAAGAAGATACATAATAGTGGCATTTATTTTCAGTCTGATTAAGTGTTATAAATAAGTGTGTTTGTAACGCGCGTACTTCCTGTAAAATCTTTATACAGTTCTTTACGTCAAACTTTTAAACATATGTCACCCACCCTCTATCGAGCTGGGCGATCATATTATTTTGTAAAGTGTAAAATGATAGCTTTTCATGCTGATAGATGATTTCAAAAAAGCAACTGTTGATTAAAGAAACAGAAATTTCATCAGATTGTTTGGACTGTTTTGAGAATTTGTAGTTTTCAATTCTGCTAAAAGAAACCTTAAATCAATTTTTAAAATCATTGTCATGTATTTCTCCTCTCTTTGTGCAAAAATAATTTTAAACTATTTAGGTAACTGTGGTCCATTTTTAAGAAGCCCTTATTTAGCAGGTTAAAAAGACTTGATTGCGGAATTTATTTTAGTACATGATGTCCCCGCTATAAGTCGCCCCGGTATACATCCGTTCCACACTAAAGTCGTTGATATTTGTAGGAACTGATGCGTTATAAGTTCTCCCATTCCCCACTATAAGTCGTACAAAACACTCCCCCCAATTGGCTTAAATAGAAGTCAGCTGCGGGGAAAAAAATTCCCCTCTTTAAGTTGTTTCACTAAAAGTCCAAGTTTTTTGGAACGTATCTTGGATTTATAGCATGGATCCCCCTGTATTGATTTCAGTCCTGACCTTAGCAATTCCCAAAGTGTGCAAATGGTATGCAAATGTTACTACAGTTTGAGTTATTCAACTTGAAGAGTCTGATGGTGATATTTACTTTCTCTCTCCCACATTTGGCAAGATTTGCCCTCTACTATGACCTTCCATCACTCAGAGTGCCATCTTAACATGCTATTCAGTGCTGCTGCAATGGAAATTTTGCTCTGCACTGCAGCAAAGTCACATTGGACTAGTCAAGCAAGCAGTCCATTTATTTCCATGGGAGTAGGACTGAGGCAGAAGTTAGGCCCAACACAAAGCAGAAGTAATGAATTGTTTTATGCTAACCAAAGAGTGTGGGATATAAATAGTAGCAGACAGGCAGGCAAAAGGTTAACAGGGGGTCTAAAGCAGAGTGGTCGGTCAGCTGTAGAGAGGAGTAATCTAGAGGCAGTTGGTTGCAACCGGAAGCCTTATTGTTTGATAGTAAGTAGCTTCCATGCAAAAGAATTGTTCCATCCTTGCTTTAGAATAAATAATTTGCAAAGTGTCTGTAGTTATTCTGTAAAGAAATCCAGCTGATAGAATTATGGTTTTAGAGGACACAAGGTTAATTCATTGGTGTGGTGACAGCTTCAGAAGTAGCTGTCTCAAACACTACTCTGTGCTGTTGCTATTCAGGGTCAGAACCTAACAAAATCTCTTGGAGCAATGAAATGATTAGCATCTTTTTAGTAGTTACTATTAAGTAACTATTGCTTTCAACAGCTCTTTGATTTTGATACACATATATGGTTGATCTTTAAGAAAAAAACAAAGATATCTGAGGAACATTCACCCAGTGACTATTTCAGATGTTTATTACCATTCCTAGTCCCTGGTGTCTGGTCTTTCCCTGCTTTGATCCACTGAAGCTGGGAGTAAAAAAATGCTCAAGTGGTGGCACATATACAGTGCTAAGTCCCTTAGCAGCGGAGAGGTGATTGTCTTATGGCATTAATCCAAGTTCAGGGAACAGAATACATTGGTGATGTAGCTGTCCCTTTCAATGCTATTTGCTGAACATGGGCTGGACTTTAAGGCCCCTGAGGCAGGGAGTAGGGGTAGGATTAGAAGTGAGTGGACATTTTCTGTGGTTTTCTGTTTCTCTTGCATCAGAACTCCTTCTGGAATCTTAGAGTATGGTCAGTTTCCTCTCAGATTGCCTCCCGGTCGTGCAAGCATAATCAACAAATTTTTGGTGTAGCAGAAATTCTGGCTGGTTCCTCAGGTTTAGTGGCAGTCTTCATTGCTCACCAAATCTTTCCACTCAGCAATATGTTGAGGGGTCACCACTAGCAGAAACATCTCTCTGGCAAAGGAGGATGGGTCCTCTACGGGACTGGAAAGCCATTTAAAGAAGAAATTGTAATATAATCCCTGAAGAGATTTGAACCCTATCCAACTGGCTGTTGGATTCACTATAAACAGTGCAACATTTTAAGAACAGTGTTGCAGGTATTTTGCCTTTTATACGCTACATCAGTGTCCGCTGCAGGGCATTGAAACCTGCTGAGGTATGTTGCAACACAAATATGTGTCAGTGCTCTATTGAGTTTTTCTGGCAACACTGTAGTGTCACAGTAATGTTCTTTGGAGTGATCCCAAGTCACATTCTGGATACATCCTTATCCACAATATGCAAACAAATCACATGGTGAGTCTCCATTGCTATTCAGGATCAGGAGCAGTGTGCACACAGGTGGGACCCAGCTGTCTGTTTAGGCTTAGAAAATCAGAACTGTCCTATGCTCGCTTGCTCCAGAAGTATTCCCCTTGTGCTTCACATACATTGTGTAAGGTTAAGCATGGCACGCTAATATGATTTGCATTGGCTACACTGACATCCAAATGTGTTTCCAGGCATCACCAATGAACGTTCAGACACTCAAAGTTGCTTTCCACTATACATTGAGCCTCCTGCAATCTGGGATTCCATCGTCTGGCAAACAAAGTTTTGAGTTTCCAGTAACTGAAGACAACTAATGAACTGTGAATGGCAGCTTCATTTTTTAAGTAAACCTGTTTCTCTCATGTTTCTGAACCTCATGATTTAATGTACTTGCAGGTGGATGAAAGCCAGACTGGAGAACCTGGGTGGCTGGGAGGAGAACTGAAAGGAAAGACTGGATGGTTCCCTGCAAACTATGCAGAGAAAATACGTGACAATGAAGTTCCAACCTCTCTGAAACCAGTAGTTGATGCTACAGTGGCACCTAAAGTTTCTTTGCGTGAAACACCTCCACCTCTGGCAGCTCCAGCTTCGATAGAATCAACTGCAACCACCAACAACTGGGCAGACTTCAGTTCAACGTATGTTTGGTGGTGGTTATCTCTAGGAGTCCAAACCAGTACTGTAGGTCTTTAAGCAGTTCATTTGTGTCTAGCTAAAATTCATTACCTTTCTTATCCACTGAGATTTTTGTCATGAGTTAACCAGGCAAATGAGAGATTTGCAGGAAATAAGGTAGTGCACTGTAAATCATAAAGGATTCTTCATCTTCGTTAAGACAGAGCTCCCAGCAAATTTTCTCTTCAGTTAACATTTTTTCTCAGCAAGACAGGCCACAAAAGTCTTTTATTTTGTGTTTTTTTTAATAGGCTTTCCAGTCCAAAGGCATCCTATCCTCTGAAGCAATCCAGAAGTACAGAAGCTTGTCCATCTGGCATTTTTCCCTGACAATATTCAGAATTATTTTACAGCAGAATTTGCAGAATGTTATCCTCCATTTGTTTATGTACAAGATATATGTGAGAGAAGAGAGTTGACACCTTCTCTTGATTCATTGTTACCAGCTTGAATTTTACATTAAGATGATGATGACACTGCTAAATCAATAAATGTATCGCTATGCTGTAGTACTCCTTTGGTATGCCTAATACCATAAGACAAGTTTAATGTCCCAAAGATCATAAAACCTAAACACAATATCTATATTTGCTTAATATCAGGACAGATTTGTCTACTATAATTGAGAAATTATTTTTGTTCAATGAATAAGGTGTTTTACAAGTAGAGGTCTGTACCTTTATTCCTGTAGAAATTCTGCATCTGGGCCCACATATACATTCTTTTCTCTCTTCTCTCTCTTCTCTTCTACACCCTGTCTTCACATCCAGGAAATCTAGGGCCTCTTTCCTAGACTACAAAGTGGCATGAGGGTGAGGTAGACTTGTACTTGTACATGTATATTTGCCAAGGTTGGACTTGCAGGAAAAGAAGCATTTCCAAAGTATACTCGTGACTTTAAAAGGCGAGTGAGTGGACTTGAAGTCGTTATGATGCCTCAGCAGCATTGTTCAAAAATTTGACATAGTGGTCACTGCTGAACAGACAGGCACATAGTGGACTTGATGCTAGAGGACTACTTTTACTGGTACACATACTTCTGCATCCATTCACATATCATGTGGATAGAACTGTACTAATAGAGGGCCTGTGACATATGAAAAACTGGCTTAACTTGGGTCATAAAAACAGGGTTTTTTTGGGTAGGATTCATAACTAAGTGTGGGTGCATGCAATACTATACTGACAATGATATGTTTTATATTGTAGATCAGGCCAGGAAGTGAACAAAGTTGAGTTCTTGTGGGATGTCCTGTTTTTGTCTCATCTCTTCTCCACCTCACTTGTTTGCTATATAGAACTCATACATGTCAGGAGATGTCAATGTCTATATTATGAGAGGATGGCTGGAACTCAACCATTGAGGCCGGGGTTTTTAGATTTCAAGCTTCTACAGTAGCTAGTGAAAATGTAGACAATTGTCTGTAATTTTGTAATTACTAAACCAAAAAAACCTTAAAATGTTTAGTTTAGTTCATAGAGCTTTTTCTACATATAGCTACAGATGTGCATTGAACTTTAAACATACATAGTTTTCGACAGCACCCAGAGCTTGCATGATAGAGGGAAATGTTGAACTAATTAACTCTGAACAATAAGGAATACGGCAGGAGGTTGAGAGCAGATAATCATGACTCAATGGTGATGAAAAGGTGGTCAAAAGTGGGTTCTAATAGTCATAGGACGAAAGGTAGTAGTTCCAAGTATAAGTGACTAAGTGGAGGAAAAAAAGCAGTTAACGATGAGGCATAGGAGTCTTAAAAGTGAGAATGAATAATATGAATTTGATGCAGAAAGGGAGGAGGACGTCAGTGACCCATCTAAATATGGGGAGCAATTAAATGGAACAGCAGGAGAGGCTGGTGAATATTTTTTATTAAATGTCTAATTAAACTAAACCTGCTGTACAATATATGTCCTGCAGTTGAAATGTTATTGTATAGAGATGTGATTAAGTGGGGTCTAAATGAGCTAGCATCCATGATCAAGAAGCAGCAACAGCATGTGGCAGTTACCTTTTTAAGGGAAAATATGCAGTCAGAGTAAATCTACATATGGTAACTTCAGAGTACAAAGACACTTTAGTCCTTGCAGAAAATCTGTTATAAGGAATTCTTCTAGAATACATACATAGCATCTTCATATATGAGCTAGTTTTTAGCAGAATGCCATAATCACTGCAATAAAAATGAAGATAATACAGTCTGCCTTTATTTTCAGGTGGCCAACCAGCACTAGTGAAAAACCAGAGACTGATAATTGGGATGCTTGGGCAGTTCAGCCTTCTCTGACTGTTCCAAGTGCAGGGCAGGTAAGGCAGAGATCCGCCTTTACCCCTGCCACTGTTACTGGATCATCACCCTCCCCTGTCCTGGGGCAGGTAAGTGGCTGATCTGTGTGGAAACCATACTCAACCCAACATTTTAACTTTCACAAACCAAGGAACAAACATTCATTAACCAGGAAAAATGTAAAAAACAACAAATAGACTAGTAGCTTCTTAAAGACTAACAAAACATATAGATGGTATCGTGAGCTGTGGGTGCAACCCACTTCAGATGATGGGAGTGTTAGAAGTCTTGGATATGGACTTCTAACACTACAGTCATCTGAAGAAGTGGGTTGTGCCCACGAAAGCTCATGATCCCATCTACATGTTTTGTTAGTCTTTAAGGTGCTACCATACTATCTTTTGGTTTTTTAAGTTTTTCCGGTTACAGACTAACTCGACTACCCCTCTGAAGCTATTAAGTTTTATCAGGAGGCTAGCATTAACTCCCTTTCCTCCTCCAACCGTTTTGTGAATCTTGCTCTTTAAAAGTGCTGAAAATAAAATATTTGGATAAAAAACAAACTTTGATTTGCATCAATTTATCTGAATTTTAAATTAATTTCAACCCAAATTGCACATATTTTAATTTTTTTCTAGAATTGCCAGAAAACCAAAAAATCAGTGATACGCCCAGCTCTGTGTCTGAACCTAAATCCTGCGCTCAGTCGGATAGATCACAATGCCACAACACTGACTAAAAAAGAGAGAGTGCTGGTAGATAGACATAGCATTCTGAGATGTGCTAGATATGTAATTCACACCTCCCAAAAGCAATTAAAATGCAAGATGGCATTATGAATGAGTTTTAGCAAAATGATTCTCTTTATGTACACTTTTTTGTGAGAGATACTGTGAGCCCATGGTGGGCGCCACATTTCAAGAAAGATGTGGAGAAATTGGAAAGGGTACAGAGAAGAGTGACAAGAATGATTAAAGGTCTAGAGAAGCCTATGAAGCCAGGCTTCATGAACTGGGCTTGTTTAGTTTGGAAAAAAGAAGATTAAGGGGGGACATGATAGTGGTTTTCAAATATCTAAAAGGGTGTCACAAGGAGGAAGGAGAAAATTTGTTCCTCTTGGTTTCTGAGGACAGGACATGGAGTAATGGGCTTAAAGTGCAGCAGGGGAGGTTTAGATTGGACATTAGGAAAACATTCCTAACTGTCAGGGTGGTCAAATATTGGAATAAATTGCCAAGGGAGGTGGTGGAATCTCCCTCTCTGGAGATATTTAAGAACAGGTTAGATAGACATCTGTCAGGGATGGTGTAGACGGAGCTTGGTCCTGCCTTGAGGGCGGGGGGCTGGACTCGATGACCTCTCGAGGTCCCTTCCAGTCCTATGATTCTATGACTTGTCTTTATATGTATAGGTTTTTCCCTAAATGTGGTAGATGAGATCAATAATTTTAACATCATTTTCTGTGTAGAAAAATTATTAAATATATTATAAGCAATGTATGCACCATTAACTTTTTAATAAATGCAAATACAGAAATACTGGTGGACTGTGTTAATATAGCCATTTCATTGTGTTTATTTAAATGATCTGCTTGGGTTTGAGAGTAAAAAGCTTATTTTAATAGAAACAGTCTACATATAGATCTGTGTCTATACATGAACATTGTAAAACAATACCTCTATTTATTTTTAGCAGCCTTCTTTGTAAAAGACACTCTATGAGTCACTGCTCTTTTCTTACCACAATAGGGTGAAAAAGTAGAGGGGCTTCAAGCACAGGCTTTGTATCCTTGGAGAGCCAAAAAAGACAACCATCTAAATTTTAACAAAAATGATATCATCACAGTTCTGGAACAGCAAGACATGTGGTGGTTTGGAGAGGTCCAAGGTCAAAAGGGATGGTTTCCTAAATCATATGTGAAACTTATTTCAGGCCCCATAAGAAAGTCAACAAGGTATTTTGTTTGCTTGTTTTTGTTAGAATTTACAGCTTTTTATTTAATCATTGTTATGTTTTTATGTAAAAAGTTGAATGTATTTATACATTTGGTTTTTAAAGCATTGGCTTTACTTTGAAAAGTTGTTTTACTAAAATGGCATTGTCATTATGTTTGTGTGTCTAAGTTTCAGATTGGTATGGCTCAATTTATAAATAAATTTATGAGCTTTGTTTTTGGCTTTTTAAGAAAATTCTAATTCTACAAACTCAGTTTGGATTATGAAAGCAAAGCTAGATTCTTCCTGCATATTTTATCACCACCAGCAATTCAGCATTTAGAATGTAGCTAACCGTTCTAATGATGCATGAGAGGGAACAGAATCGAGTTTATTCTCCTGGAGATATTTTGGCTTTACAATGCCAACAGGACTAACAAATAACAAAACCTTTACTTAAGTTTATAAATTAAGCAGAAATTTAAACGTGTGTGGGGTAGAGATATTGAATAAAGTGATGCCACTTTCCCATACTCGTTTCACTAAACAACAGTATTTTGAAAGATTAGAAGATTGTAATCTAATACAGTACACCATCTGAAAACAACATTCTAGTTAGTAATGAAAACTAGAATGAACTTTACCTTTTTTCTATGGGGGAGAACAGAACAGGGTTTTTTTTTCTTTTGAAATCATAAGCAGATTGAGACTGTATTTTGTCATGCTGAGGTTTAAAACTCTAAATGTTATCTTTCTTTAAGTTGAGAGAGTTCATAGATACAGCTTTTAATGCATTTTTAAATTAAAAACCTTTAGTTGTGTTCGTTACATTTAAAAAAAATTAAAGCATTTCATATTTTCTCTTTAAGCATGGATTCTGGTTCTTCAGAAAGTCCTGCTAGTTTAAAGAGAGTAACATCACCAGCAACTAAACCGGCTATGTCAGGTGAAGGTAAGAACTTCAATTGAATGCATTAGTTGGATTTTATTGTATTTACTATATATTTGAGAGAGTTTGTCTATCTGTTCAAGAACTCCTCCTAAATGGTAAGAGCTAGAACCACCTCTTATCATAACTTAAAGAAAGATAAGGGTTTAGTTGTGCCAGGAAAATGGGATGTGCCTGGAATGGGGTTGTTTTTCAGAAAACCTTTCAGAAAAGAGACCGACTCACCAGGCAAGTAAAAGGGGCTGGCTGGGGCCTCCCATTCCCCAGGCACCTTTTAAGGAGGGCAGAGAGGGCTAAAGCTCCCCCCCCAGTTTGTGCGGGAACATTGTTGGCTGATCCCCTTTGTCAGGGAGCAAGGGGAAACTGCACATTTTGCTACATTCCTCACTCTGGCTGGGGATTGCAGGAGGCAGACAAATCTGGATCTGCCCCAGCTGAGGGACATGCACCCATTCCCAGCTATGTCTACTGGAGCTGCAGTGGCCATGGAGAGGTGTTATTTCACCCAGCTCCAAGTTGCTGCAGAGAGAGAGGGCTGAGGTAGTCATCTCTCCCCAGGGCAGCCTGTATACTGAACTCCAGCCCCACCCTCAGCACCTGTTTATATGAAGCATGTACTTTTTAAGTTACTTTTCCAAAAAACAAAAAATGAATTAAGAACCTGAACAAAACACTAGGTAAATCTTCTAGTAGTTGAATAAAAGAAATTCTCTAGTAAAAGATGCAAATTCAGAACCAGTCAGTGCAAATTGATATTCATCAGTACCCTTGCCAGGGTCAGGCTCTTTTACTTTGCAAAATAAGAACTTAAATTTCATCCAGAATTTATTATGACTTCCAGTCTATGTCCTACATGTTTGTACAACTGCTCATTTACATAAAAATAGTATTTTTTCTAATTAAGTTATGTACATTGCTTTATGCAGTATCATTTATAAACTGTTAAGAATCAATCCCATGTTTGTTTTTTAGCCTTCTTCCTACAACAGGGAGGGCCCAGCTTTTGAAGATTCATAAAGGACATATTTCTATTTAACATGTACAGTTGCTACGACTACATTGGTCCCCTATTACGGAATAGGGATGCATATGTAGCACTTGGGAAGAGGCAAATGCGTGGGGGGTTTAAATATCCCCCGCGGCATTTGCATTTTCATGGCCGCCGCTTTTTTCCAGCTTGGAGATAAGCCGGAGAAAAGCGTCCAGACTGGCGCGATCCTCCGGAATAAAGCCCTATTCCGGAGGATCTCTTATTCCTACTTGCAAGTATACTTAGTGACTTATGATCACTAACTGTTACAGATGTCCAAATAGGAATAAGAGATCCTCCGGAATAGGGCTTTATTCCGGAGGATCGCGCCAGTCTGGACGCTTTTCTCCGGCTTATCTCCAAGCCGGAAAAAAGCGGCGGCCATGAAAATGCAAATGCCGCGGGGGATATTTAAACCCCCCGCGCATTTGCCTCTTCCCAAGTGCTACATTTGCATCCCTATTCCGTAATAGGGGGCCAATGTAGACGTAGCCAGTGTGTATATGCCCTGTAAAAACATGTGTGCAAGGTTCAAGACAAGCAAGGATATTAATAATTTGGCTCCCAAAATTTGCATTCATGCTCATTAATTCTTTGTGAATAAATTGAATCCCGCAGTGACTGAGTGCATGTTTTCTTATTTAAATGTTGGATAGACCAAAACTTTCCACTTCTTAGAAAGAGAGACCAATAGGTGTTCATCCCATCAAGAGGATAAGGATGATTATCCTAACAAGCATGTATGTATCATTGAATTTTTACTAGCATTCATTTGTGCTGTCTTATTTGACCCAAGAAGGTTAGATTTAAACATAAATATAAAATAACAAGAATGCACTCCGTGCCTTGTATTAGAGAAGGGTATTTTTTGTTCCTATGTCATTTTGAACATTAGGTACCTTCCATTAATGAATTAATAATAATTGAAAACCATATGAGTTCTTAAGTGGTCTACAAGTGTGTCCCTTTTTTCATGACAGGATACTAATAAATGCACCAGAAATTTGCCATAATTGGAATCTACCCCTCTGCTAGCATAGGAGACTAGGAAACAAAGAGGACTGTTCTTCAGTGCTATGCTGATAACAGTTTTATCAATAATATCTAACTTTTCATAAGACATGTTACCTTGGTAGAAGTTGGATTCATGGGTACTGGGAGTATGAGAGGCAAGGGGAGGCAATGCTTCCCCTGGGTCTTAGTGCTCAACTTCTCCAATCCCTATTCTGACCATTCCTGCAGGCTCTCTCAACTGTTGCAGACTGATGGCTCATCCCCTCTCCCAAAGTTCAGTTATTTTAAAAATAAAGACTTCCAGCTTGCCAGTCCTATTACCATAACACTGAACCTGTGAAAGAGCTATTAAGTGGTAATAAAACTATTTAACAGGCATGTGCCAACCCTGAATTTACTGACAAAAAGAGTTGTGCATTACTATGTATGCAAGTCCTTAGTTTAAAATTGGTTTCATTAGCTTGTGCTGAAGGTTATAAAATCACATTCTAAAAAAGCCATGCATAGATATTTAGATGCACAATCTGAGTATTCAGCTTTAATCTTAAATTCTAGTATCTTCAAACATAGGTTTTTAATAAATTCTTCAAAAGACAACCCTTATCTAAAATATACATTATAACTGTAATTACTACAGTACAAAAACATGCTTCTAAAATCTTCCTGACCATTCTATCCATCCCTACTCTCCTTCTACTCCCTACTGACATGTCATGAAAAGCACACAAAATAAATTAGTGTTCCCCTTTTCTAAAAGTAATTAACTTTGTTCTGAACAAACTAAACTGCTCTGACCTGATTAATTCAGAATCATGTCTTTGCTTCAGTGAGTTTAAATATGGTAATGTGGTAATCTGTAATGATTACTTTATGAAGGCTTAAGAGTACATTTAAAATATAAAATCAGCTTATAAATACTGAAGAAAATTTAAAACAGAGAAGGGCTGCCTCACGTGTTTGGTAATATTTAATGTTGTATTCATCAGGACAACTGACTTGTCCTTACTTCAGAGTTTTTGCAAATAAATCTCTGACAAACTTCAGAGTATATAAAAAAAAAACCTGTGACTTTTTATATTCCAAAATTTAGTGCTTTTAATTAGGTACTTGTGCATGTCCAGTCTTCACAATCTGGCATGGAGTGGAAAACATTCTCCATTTTCTTTAGAAAAAAAATTTAGAAAGTGGTTTTGTTTTTTTTTGTTTTTGTTTTTTAATGCTATGCTACAGCATTAATTCGGGTTAGCTTAATTTGAATTAACTATTTCTAATTAAGTTAATTCGAATTAACGCATCTACACATACAACCTATTTCGAAATAGCGTGGACCCTGAACCGAAGTTAAGGCTGGCCGGAACCAGTGTCAGCAGGGCATCTTAGTGTGTGGTGCTGCTGCCTGAGGCTAACTGAGCTCCATGCTTAAAGGGACCCTACCCCCACCCCGCACAGATAGTTCTCAGGATTCCCCGCTTGCTTGTCTACCTCAATGAGGGACAGCAAAGCAGTCCTGTCTTGGAGTGCCCTGAGTGCCCGCACTCGGGACACCACAACACTCGGCCACATGGAACCAGAGCTGCCCCTAGGCACGCCAGCGCGTCTCGTGGGGTCTTTGCTATCAGCCTGGCTGCACTTGCTGCAGGCTGCCATCCGGGGGTCCATCGGGGGGCTGTCAGGATCCAGGAGGCCCTGCAGGAGAGCGTACACCCCTCAGAGCCCTCAGAGCCACCCTGGTCCTCCCCACCAGGGGCTCGTGCCCCATTCCTCCCTCACGTCCTTCCACTTACCCCTCCCTAACCCCCTTCCTGATGTCAAACAAAAGACATGTATGTTCAAAAATAGAAACCGGGTTTATTGAACAAAACTGGGGGGAGGGAGATGAACCTCTGGGGAGACTGGGAAAAGGAGGTGGGAGAGGGAAAGAAAGAGGGTGGGAGAGAGGAGGGGGAAACTTGGGAGGAGGGAGCTGGAAGGGGGAAGCAAGGAGAAGAAGGGGGAGGGGAGCTCAGGGCCCAGGGTTGGGGGTCTCCCCAGACCAAATTGATTTTCATGCAATCCTGCTCCTGGGTTTTTATGTGGTCTTTGTTGGCCAGGCTGGCAGCTATCCTGCCATAGACGGGCACA